TTATGAAGGCCTTGGCCTCCAAGCCCTGTTGTTGGCCCTCCAGAAGAACTGGTTGGCTGCTGTGTGAGATGGGATGCTGGACTAGAGGGACCACTGGTCTGATCCAGCAGGGCTCTTCTGATGTTCTTATGAAGGCCTTGGCCTCCATACACTGTTGTTGTCCCTCCAGAGGAACTGGTTGGCCACTGTGTGAGACAGGATGCTGGACTAGATGGACCACTGCTCTGATCCAGCAGGGCTCTTACGTTACACAAGAACATAAGGGAAGTCAATGTCGGATCAGGCCAATGGCTCGTCCAGTCCAACACTCTGTGTCACACAGTGGCCATAAATACCAGGTACCATCAGGAGGTCCAGAAGTGGGGCCAGGACACTAGAAGGTAGCTAATGAGGGCCTTGGCCTCCATGCCCTGTTCTTGGCCCTCCAGAAGAACTGAATGGCTGCTGTGTGAGACAGGATGCTGGACTAGATGGACCACTGCTCTGATCCAGCAGGGCTCTTCTGATGTTCTTATCTACTGGCAGAGCAGGAAGGCTCATCAAGAAGAAGAAGAAGATGAGAAGAGATTGGATTTATACCCTGCCCTTCACTACCCAAAGGTGTCTCAGAGCGGCTTACAAACTCATTTCCCTTCCCCTTCCCACAACAGACACCCTGTGAGGTAAAAGAAGAAGAGGAAGAGATTGGATTTATACCCCGCCCTTCACTACCGAAAGGTATCTCAGAGCGGCTTAAAAACTCTTTTCCCTTCCCTTCCCCACAACAGACACCCTGTGAGGTAGGTGGAGCTGTGAGAGCTCTTTCCAGAACTGTCCTTGAGAGAACAGCTCTGAATGAACTATGGCTTGTCCAAGGTCATCCAGCAAGTGCAAGTGGAGGAGTGGGGAATCAAACCTGGTTCTCCCAGATTAGAGCCCACACACCTAATGTTCTTATCTACTGGCAGAGCAGGAAGGCTCATCAATTCTACACAAGGTCTCCAACCTTCTCTGATCCGCACACGGTGACAGATACTTCTGCTATGGCTGCTTAATTTTTCTCCACATCAGTCTGCCTTGCAGCACAAAGGAGCTATTCGGCATATAAGAAGAGCTAGATGTGAGTCCAGTAGCGCCTCAGAGACCAGCAGGATTGTTGAGGGTATAAGGCTTTTGAGAATCAGAGTTCCCCTTGTCAGATACCCCTGACTCTCTTTGACCCTTCGTCAGAGTTTTGACTCTTGAAAGCTTCTTCCCTGAAAAATCTTGTTGGCCTCTAAAGTGCTCCTGAACTCGAATCGACTGCTGTGGATCAACGGGGCTACCCGGCGTTGACACAATTCAGTGCACAAGAGGAGAGGAGATGACTGAGAGGTAACTTGGTCTTAAAGGTGCCACTGGACTGTTTTGGACCAGGGGGCTGGAGGGGCTCTGCAATTTACCTGGCTGCTCCTTGCTCTGACTGAGGGCTGCTGGGAGCAGGGGGTGGGGCTTGTTGCATGTGCCCGCCCCCTGGGCTCTTTACTGCCGGAGCTCCACTCCTGTGCGCTCCTGCAGGTAGGGGCTCTTTTTGTAGCAGGGACTCCTTTGCATATTAGGCCACACACCCCTAATGTAGCCAAT